AACACAAAAAAAAAAAAAAAAAAAAAAAAAGTTTCAGTTTTTATGATATAGGCTTGTAATCCATATGGTTGATGTTGCTCAGTGATGTTTTATCTGTAATAAGAAGAAAAACATGAAGTTTTACTGAATAGTAGAAAATCCTCCAACCCTTATTCATTACTTTCTTCCTCTTTCTTGATGACGTCATGCACAAAGCTCTCTTGGCTCTGTTTGCCACTACATTCTGTAATGTTTTCTTTAAAATGTCATCCAATCAAGCTCATACTTAAAAGTCAAAGCAGCTATGACTGACTGAAACTTTCAAAATATGATTCCATCTTGTCAAAGCATTACATTTAACAAACGTCCATACATAATAAAATGAAATAACTGTTTTCTGAATCCTTTGGAAAAGATTGTAGATATTCACAATGCACTGTAACCTTTCTCTTAAATTTTCCTCCCTACCCCTTCTTCATTTCTCTATCTTTTTCTATTTCATAGAATAAATAATAACAAATGTTTACATAGCGCATACTATATTCCAGGTGCTGTTCTAGAAACTTCACAGATATTTGTTGTTACGATTAATCGCATATTACTGATAAAGAAGGTGCAGCTCAGAGGAATTAAATAACTTGTCTGAAATCAGAAACAGAACAGTTAACAAGACCAATGACAAGTGCACACAGAAGTCAGCAGCAGGTTAGGATGCGTCTCAGAGGTTTTTATCAATCCCGTCTGTTTAGCACCCTTTCTTTCCTTGTCCATTTTCGTTTTGTTCTGTGTCTTTTGTCTCTAGCCATAATTCTCTACTTTATTAAAATTCTAGCAATCTAACCAGTATCCTCCATTTCCCTTTTCACTCATTGGCTCATGGTACTAAAAGAGAGGCCAGGGGTTGATTAGCTAGGGAAGAGGGGAGCAAAGGAAGGCATTAGAGGAGCTGCTGTGCATTCTCATACATGGTGCTTGCTTTTTTTCATGCTGGGGAGGAATTTCTTTTTAAACTTGTTTTTAGTAAGCAAAGAAGTACTAAAAGCAAGTAGAAGTGATGGCACCAGTGCGCAAGAGAACAGAGGCAGATTCAAGGTAAGAATTCGGGAGATCAAGTTTTATTCAAGCAGGAAGAGTTTTCAGGACCACTCTTCTTTTCTTTTCCTTTCTAAGGACCTCTTCTTTCTATCTTTTGATGCAGTATCAAAAGCTACATTAATTGGGGTGAGTTAATGTACTATCAAGCATGTAAAGAGTCAGTTGATGAATAAATACAGAGAAACAATCTAATTTAACACTGTCAAAGATGAAAGGCTTTTGAGGTCATAAGGTTTTCTGAGCCACAGAAGCTCAAATAAAATTAAAATATTATATATTTGCACTAAAAACAAGTGCTCCACAGCTAAGTGATCATAAGATCGGTGTATATTTGAATGCCTATTAGACCAAATTCCCAGCAGATGGCAGTAAACCACCTGTTTAGATAGTATAGTCAATGTATTGGATACATTGGATACTTGGAAATAAAACATTGGAGGATTTCAAGAAATGTGTTCATACGAATAAAGGTGCTAAAGGGTGTCGGGACAGACTTCACAGCTCAAGAGACCTCATTCTACAAACCACTGGAGCGTATTTCCACACTCACGTTCTTTCAGCATCTTTTCATCATTACCTCTCACAGTCCACACGGACTTCAGGAGCTGCCCACATTGAGGTGTATAGCTTTGTTATTCTAGCATTTTACCACATCTAACTTCTAATCACAATTATCCATTTCCTATGTAACTACCGGCACTTAACAGTACTTTGATATATATTTCTAGGTAAAGAAATAAATTGTAATAGCAGTTATGATAAAATAGTATCTAAGAGTAATCGAAACTATATGCAAAATTTCTAATTCACAAAAACAATAGGGTGGTTCATAGACAGAAAGGGAAGGTATGTATTTCCAATAAAATGATAATATCACTGGGTATGGTAATACATGCCTGTAATCCCAGTACTTGGGAGGCTGAGGCAGGAGGATCGCCTGGCCTACATAGTTCAAATCCAGCCTGAACTACAAAGTGAGACCTTATCTCAAAAAACAAACAAAAACAAAATGCAAAAAACAAAAAGAGAATGTCATGTTGCAACTAAATTTCAATTTGCAGCACACTTTTCCAATAATTTTGAATTTATGTAATTATTGGTTTTCTGAAAATATTTTAGAGGGTTTAAACTTTTTCCTATTAATCTTTGTTAATATTTTAACATGAAATCTCAGATTTTCATAAATTTCAGAATTTCATACAATTTTATTTTCCTCTGTACACTGGGATTTATTTATGAAAAAATTTACAAGTAAAACTGGATGGAAACATATAAATACCAAAAAGGTAACACAAATTAATTTGGGGTGGTAAAATTTGAAAGGATTAATTTTTTTCTATTTTTCCATATTTTCTGTTTCCATTAAGTATGTGCTAATTTCATAATATAAAATCATATTTAAACTTCTGCATATGAAAACTGTATTTGGCCTACATGAAGAAATTTCATTGGCAAACCACAGACTATAATTTGAAATCATGTCACAAGAATTAGTATAGTATGTATGTCAATGTTATATGGACATAAACTTGCATAAGATTTATTTTTATTGTTTAAACCACTTTTTTTTTATTGAGTTTATTGGTACATTTAGGGATACAGTACAGTTACATTCATTGTTGGGATCATGTACCTTTACATGGCAAGTCTTGATTCTCATTAAACCACTTTTTAAAAAGTATCAGCATGCTGGAATTTTTCCCACTATGTGTTGCTAAGATTATATTTTAATGACTGTGACATTCAGAGTCAGAATATATAATAGGAAAAGGTCCTAGGAACTCACAGATTTGACACCGCGCTCCTTCCCAGGCAGGAGGACAGCTGCATACACCAGGAGAGACACATTCACCACCATTTCTACATTTCTGAAAGCAAACAGCTGCACACAGAAATAGAAATGAGTTCAAATTTTAAATTAAATGTCAAATCCTATCATAGACCATAACAATTTAATGAAAGAGAAATGTTAAAACCCCATGATTAGGGGAGTATGGAGGGGGTGAAGGGAGGATAAAGGTGCGGGGAAAAAATGAGAACCAAGACCTGCCATGTAAAGGTACAAGATCCCCATGATGAATGTAACTGTACTGTGTACCTCAAATGTACCAATAAACTCAATGAGAAAAAAAGAGAAAGAAATACATATGGATCAGAAAGAAATAAAACTAAAAAAACCCAATGATTAAAGGATCATTTCCCTCCACATTTTATTAAAATTGGTTTATAACATTCTTAGAAAATGTAAATTAAATATTTGCACGATCCAGTGTTAGAATATATTGTGCTATAAGTTTTCTTAAATTGTTGGAATTATCCATGTTGCTTCTCATTTTTTACCTTGATTTATATACTACAATGATTGCTTATTTTAAATAATAATTTTATGGAAAGGGATAATGAGAACTGCTATAGCTCAGACACTAACTGAAAGGCGGTGGAACTCCACTTTGGAAAGGCCTGAGTGGCTTGGGTTGCGGTGAGGCCAATAAATCAGCAACTCTTAAAACTTTTAACCCTTTTTTCAGATTAAGAGAACAGAATTCAAAGATTTTTTTAAAAATTTTTGGCTAATGTGAAAAACTATAAAATACAATGTAACCTCCTTCTGCTAATGTGAAAGAATCATTTCATGGGAGTCTTTTGTTATTTCAAATGATACCTTCTAAAGGAGGAATAAATAAGCCAGAATTATAGCAAAGAAACGAGTGAAAGCAAGAAAAATGTTCTTAAGTTCTGCTTGACATTCCCATAAAAAATGTAGGTTTGTCTATTTCTTTACCTTTTGTTAGTGTTACAGTTTGGGTCTAGATGTCCCCCAAAGCCTCTTGTGGTCATAGGTGGCCTTTTCAAAGGTGGCCGAATCAGTGTGTGATGATGCTGATATTAAGGACTTGTGACTACCAAACCAGTACACTGACCCTCATCCCAGTAGTCTGGATAAGATAAAGGGGGCAGAAAGACACTGTTGATGTACCCTCGTTGCTTTTGACATTTTGAGGGCGCCATATACCGTTTCTCCTCTGTGATGCCCTGCTGCCATGTGCCTCCCTGCCTTGGAGTCTGCCTATTATTGACTGAAACCTCTACAAACATTGAGCTAAGTAAACCCTTTGCCCTTAACTTTGAGTGTTGAGTATTTTGCCTCAGCTACAAGAGAAAAGTAACTAAGAGAATTAGTATATGCTTGTGATACATAACAAACACATTCATCGTGGGGAACTGGTACATAAACACCTATCACATTTTGATCCTCCGTACTTCCCGTTCCTTTCTTTTGCAGCTTGTCTCCTCCCATACCCAGATCCTACTCCTCTCCCATGTAGCCTTATCTCCCTATTAGCTGTCATCTATCTTTTATGTTGCTCTTTAAATTATTCATACTTTGGGTTTGTCATATGAGGGAAAGCATGTGATGTTTAACCTTCTGTGTCTGCTTCATTTCACTTAGCCGTTAGCACTTTAAGAGTATTCTTACGTGTGCTGCACTGTTTCCCACTCCAACCGGAAGGGCAAGAGCAAATGTTTGGTCTCACGCATTTTCCTCCATTCATGCACATAGGATCACAGATGCCTTGAAGTAAAAGCATGAAACATCAGCTCTTAGACAGCAACAGTTTTGTGCTTGCCTTGCCTATAGTTGGTAAATAATTTTAGTGGTGACTTACTTTTTTGGCACCTCCTACCAGTGTATGCTTCCTGACAGATGCATACGTTATTTCTCATGCAGAGGCCACCATTCTTACAGGGAGGGTGACAGACAGCTAAAAAGAACACATGGCAGCCACGTGTGAATATTACATAGTCAGTTACTAAATATTATATATTGACTGTATTTTGTGCTTGTTATCTATGGAGCCATAAGGCAGAGGGATATGCTATTAAAATGAAAGATCACAACTGCAGGTCATTAAAACTACTCTTTCTTAATCATAAAATACAGTGCTATAGCCATAATCTGCTAGTGGGGTAGCACAATTCGAAATGTATTGGTGAAGTGTTCATAACAAATGGAGTCTTTGCTCTCACAGCGCACATACTATACACCATAACTCATGTCTCACCACACTGTGAAGTAAGGCATGAAATAGTCGGAACAAAAACCGTGCATATAAGTCAAATCCTAGCTCAAAATAAGAATTTATTTGCCCTTTTGGAAATTAGAAATATCTCAACAATTTTTCTCATGATGCCATGAAAGTATGAGAAAATATTTTTAAGTTAACTCTTAAATACATACTGAGGTCATGAGGCAGTTTTATATGATCAATTTCTATGGCTTTTTGGTAAAGGTTTTTAACAATAAATCCTTGGCTCTATTTGGAATATTTAGTAGATATTCAGAATTCATGTTACTAGTATCCTCTGTTTATATAATTCTGTTCCTTGGAATTCAGATGTTAATATTTGTCATCTTCATAAGAGACTTATTATTGCTTCATCTTTCTTCCATATATAAAAATTAAATGTTAGCATTTTGCTTGTTTGTTTGTTTTTGGTACTAGACAAGGAAGTGAGGTTCTTGTACACTTTACCACTGAGCTACACCCAGGCCCCTAAATGCGGTATTTTCTTTTTAATTACACAGGCTAACCTATTTGAAAGTTTAAAAATTTTCTCTCCCGATGAATTTAAAATGGATTTTATTTGTATTTTAAAAACTAATTTCAAATTAATAGGTTTTGGTGACAGAGCTTGATATAATGGCTCTCATTAGTAGTTGCTTTCTTCATTTCCAAGCACTGTAAAAAAAAATTCCACTGATTTCAAATGGATTTGTAAGTAAAAATATAGCACATATAAAAACAATATAACTGGATTATTTTAGCAATGGATAATTACTATGTTAAGATGAACTTTCCTTGGTTCATGCTTGAGTCTTTGTAACATTTTATCGATAGCTTTTAAGAAAGCATTTATTCAACAAACTTCATTAAGAATGGGGAAAAACTGTGACAATAATTTGTGTTTACATGTTAAATGAAGTTAGGTTGAATTACTGATTACTGTTCCCATTTTTTTTACCCTTCTTTCCAATCATGCCCTTTTCCATTTGACTGTGTCCCCTCCCCTCCACCTCCAGTGGAGTTTATTTCGTTGTAAAGTTGTTTCTATTTTGTGTCATGTGATTTAATTTGACCAATGGCCTGTGAGTCAACAAGATGCAAGAAAATTTATATATACAGTATAATTTGTCTTGTCTTCTTGCTCTCCTGTTTACTTGAGAATGTCATGCTCCATATAAATGCTGGTGTACCGAGGAAGAGACAGGTGAAACATTCTAGGGCCCAGTCCAGCTAATCTGTAAGGTCTATGCATAATGGAAATAAATGCTTATTGCTGGCCACTGAGATTTTGAACACTGGCTAACAAAATACCTCGATTCAGATGATTACAAACTGAGGTATGCCTTACTTTTACTAGTAATGAAATGCCCTTACATTTTATACTCCTTATTCTTTACACAATTTAAGATCATTTATATTTATTAGAAAAAAGCCTTTCCATGACAAAAAACACCATAACAAATGCCTATAGTTAGAAAATTAAAATTAAAAAGAAAAAACAAATTTGTTTATGGTGGGTAACTTTGTATAGTTAAGAATTATTCACAAAAAATGTAAGTGTAGAGATAAACATTACATTTACACAAAAGTCTGTATAATTAAAACAATAACTATAAAGAGAATAAAATTTGAGTTTTGCCATCCACTGATAATCACACACTGGAAAGGGAATTTTAGGAGAAAACAAACCCTCGCACAGGATTCTACAGGCCTCAGAAGGCTATCCCAACAAACTCCAAAGTGAACCAAGGTAACAGGGATTTTCAGAGGTGAAGGAAATTAGAAGGTATATTTATACATTTATTCAGGTATACATTTCAAACTTTTCTTGCTTAAAAAGTAGTTTATTCATATTGTGGTTTTAATTTCTTTTTCCTTGAAATTTCTATAAGTACACACAGAATATGTTCCTCCAACTTACTTTGAAACATATTCTGACTAAAATTTATTCACTTGCTTTTCACAAGTGTGCCAACTTCCCTTCCCCTCATTAGAGTTCCCCAAGGGAAGGGATCTAACGCTGTCTAGATCAAATTTGAAAACTTGAGGGCTGAATTCTAAGGCCTGAAGACTTACAGCAAATTTCCGAAGGGTAAACTGGGTAGGAAGTCATAGGGACTGATTCCAAAATCTGCTTTCTCCTCACAACAACCTGTTTCCTGGCCCTTAAGAAGAAGTGTTCAATAGAAAACTTTTAGTTGAACTTAGTAGTTTAGAGATTCCCTTTTTCCTCTTTTTTTTTTTTGGTACCAGGGACAGAACTCTGGACCTTGCACTTTTGAGGCATGCAGCAGCACCACTGAGCTAAATCTCCAGCATGATTCCCTTCTTTCTACAGTAACATAGTCCACATATATTTTTGAGACCTATTATTACTATGTCCTTCACCATTTGAAGAAGCATGGCAGATGCAGACTTTTCATTTTCCTCTTTACTTTCTCCGCTCAAAACTAAACTATATTTATTGTTCAGAATGGATTTAGGCAATCTCTTCATTTCTAAGATTTGGTTTAATTTAGTCTTTATTCCTTTCCATTTTGCAAATTGGCTCCTTGTCAGAAGTCTGAATTAAAGAAACTCATTCCCTATGTTTGTCTAGCTTGTGTTTGATGGCATGTTGGTTGATTCTCTGCTCAATCCTATCCTAAGAATCCTAGCATGCCTCCAAATAAAGAAAACGTATTTATAAATCAAAATATTATGGTAAGGAAAGTACAACTTTTAGGAATTAAATTATGATGTTCTGATACATTCTATACTAAAACTCTACATTTAATGAAACAAAAATAGATAGATGCAGAAATACTTTATGAATTTAATTTATTTGTATTAACTCAAACCTATAATGTCCCCTTCAAGACATTACCATTATTCTGATACAATCAGTCTGAATTAATTGTACAGGAGATGGTATTAAAATAATGGGCCACAAATAGGGAAAATAGTTCCTCTTTCTGTTTCCCCATAACCTTGCACAGTGCTGTGCATAGATGACTCTTTATAAATATTTAATGAAACTAGAGCAATTACAAGATAATAATAGACAACACATTGATCACAAATCACAATCTTTGCTGTGAAGGTAACAAGAATGTCACCACTATAACTATAAGAGACCTTTGCTTAGTTTTTTTCATATCTTGGTTCTGCAAAATTGTACAGACAAATGTCAAACTTGTGAGCCTAACACAGTGAAATAAATATAACCATTTACATGATAACTCTAATACATGTGCATGATGATATCATTTGGTGACCATACCTATAATATCAACAAGAAATAGAGAGAAAAGACAGATAGCATCTTCCACTTTGATACTTATTTTGCATTCACTCAAAGCTCTACTGAGATGTAGCGTCTCATTTGCCTATTTTACTTATAAATAAAAATAATTACCATTCTGACATTGTGCACCAAAGAATCCATGTGGACAGAGGCAAGTGTTGGGTTTGTAGCAGGAACCACCATTGAGGCAAACGGGGTCACACAAAGCTGATGAACAGCACAAAAGAAAGAAAGAAGCCATAAGTGTTCTATTATTTTACAAATGAAAGTTGAACAGAAATAAAAAGGATGAATAATGAAATATTTTATTTTTACTATAAGTAAAATCCATAACCTATGATTAATTGGACTTTGCCAAATAAGGGAAAGCATCTAAGTAAATTCTTTGAAAATATTTCTATTAAGTAATACTACACTAAGAATGTGGAAGTGGAATTCAAATTCAGAAAGCCATGGGTAAGATGAACAAAAAAGATTGTAAAAGGAGACTATTTAATTTAATAACTCTGGTAGCATAGTTTGTAACCAGCTCAAATACCTATGTTCATAAATTCATATGTCTTTTTCTCCTTTCCAAATATAGGGACATTTCAACTCTAGTATACTCTAAAAAATTCTTTCATTTTGTTTCTGACCTTTGTTTCGCATTGAAAGGCATTTCAGTTCTATTTTTAACCTAGATTTTACCAGTTCTCCAACAAGCACACGAATACTGTTTTCTTCCAAATTCTGCTTGCCAATTACTTTTCTCTTTGCTTCCAAGGAATTGTGTTTCAATTACATAATTTATTATAAACCAACCTGTCTCATAGCTCTTTTTATAATAATTGTATCTCATTTCTCCTTCATTAGTGATGTGCTACTTGAAACAAGGGCAAAAACCACATTAATCTTTGTTTCTCTTTGCATCATTCTTTGTATATAATTGACAAGCTACAAATGTTGAATTTTCATTCAGAAACAATATATAACAATTAGATTAAACATGAGTAATTGCAAACACAACTGCTAAAGAAGTCTGACAATGTGATAAATAAATGGCATACATAATTATGAAGTTGCAGTTAACTACTCAGAATTACTTAGAAATCAGTAAACAGAATGTGTTGTGATAAAAATACTTGAAAGAAACCTGGAAAATGCAAAACAGAAAGGAAGTCTGTGTCCACCCAAAGTAAATAGATGAGGGAACTACAAAAGCTTAAAAAAATTGTCTGGATAGGATAATAATAAAGCTGTAGTATTGTTTGGCCCAATATAAGAAGATAAAAAAATGAAAATGTAAGATTTGAAATGACAGTTACATACTTCGCATGTCGGATCAGTTTTGTTTTGCAAATATAAGTCTTTAGATGACTGGCACATTTTAAATTATTTAGGTTGACAATTTCATTGAAAATAGTTATTTTACCTGTGTTACAGGTAGGTCCATACCAGCCAGGCTTGCACTGGCAAACATCTGGTGCAAGACATTCACCTCCATTTTCACAGTGTCTGTTACAAATCACTGGGATCACAGAATAAAAGTAAAATTAAGGTAAATCAGGTGTCAAATGGTCATATTGTTGGCTATTACCTAGCTAGTTGCTAACTGCCAATCACATCAGCCAATGAATAAGATAAGAAAGAAGAATAAAACATACTATATAGTTTGGCTTTAAATGCTCTCCAATTTTTAGGTTCAATTATTTTCTTATTAAGAGATGAAGAAAGTAGAAAATAATTGAGCCAAATTGTAAGCAAGGATTGATCCTTGGGAGAAATTACATTTCTGATGAAAGTAATCAAATTAAATGCATATATGTTCATGAACAAATTTGAGTCCCTGATATCTCAAAGAAAAGGTTATGGCTAGGGTCAAGGAGAGAAATCATTCTGAGAACCAAATTCTTAGTACTGGTCACCCATGGTCATTCCCAGTGCTGTCTAGGTTGGTAACTGTCATCATAAGTTATGAACGTGTGTTCTTTACTTAAGGTTTGGGTTCATTCCATTTAGCATTAAAGCCATTAACTCATCAAAAGAGAATGAAAGTGTGCCAGGGATTTGGCTCAGGGGTTCCGGTGCCTGCTTTGTAAGCTTAAGGGCCCAAGTTTGATCCCCGGTACCAAAAAAAAGAGAGAGAGAGAATGAAAGTTTTGCTCACTTGTTTCACATCTTGGTCCTACAAAGCCATATGCACAAGTGCAGAGATTGCCAGGCAGACACATGCCACCATGTTGACAAGGTGGGTTGCAGAATGCTGCAGACACAGATTGTATCATTAAGTTGGTTAATGATAATTTAAATTAAAATCAACTTATATTGAGGAAGCACAGGCACAAGCTTTGCTCTAAGAACAATTTATAATGATCTCAGTTCTCCAATATTACACAATTTAGTTCTATGGACTAACTATGTAGATTCACACTTTTGAAACACCAGTGACCAGCATGTTTTGGTTATAAAAGAAACCTAGAAAACACAACTCACATAGATGTGTAAAAAGATCTTACAAGAACTTTGATTAATTGAATGGAAATATGTAACTGTTGGTGTCTTCTGAAAAGTAACTCGGGGACTTATGAATTCCTATTCTACAAATAGAATTTTTCTGTGCTTTCACAGTTACTTTTATATGTTTCTGATGGTGAATATTTTTGTTAATTCACCCTATATTAATTTGTGGCTTTGTTTGTTTTTTAAGTCAGGGTCGTACTATGTAGTTCAAACTACCCTGGAACTCTCTATGTAGCCCGGGATGGTTTTGAACTCACAGTGATCCTCCTGACTCAGCCTCCCAAGTCTGGGATTAGAGGCGTGACCTACCACACCTGGTTTAATATGTTAATCAATAGTTTACTTGTCATCAAAAATTTTAAAAACTCTCATTTTATTCATAATTATGGGGACTGCTTAAAAATATATTCCTTTAAAAACTCTTTAACAAAAAAGTTCATAATTTTTTCACAATATTTCAGCCAAAGCAATATTATTTATATGATCATAGACATATTTTGAAAATCATTATTCAAGCCTCTTCGTACCTTATAAATTCTAATTATTTTACATTTAATACTTTCTTGGAATAATTTTTTTTTCCTCGCTGAGTTTATTGGTACATTTTAGGTACACAGTACAGTTGCATTCATCATTGGGATCTTGTGCCTTTACGTGACAGGTCTTGGTTCTCATCTTGGAATAATTCTTGATAAGAACCTTTTGCTTGAGGACAAAATATTTCTAGGGATATAATACCTTATAAGTGAATTTCAGAAAATAATTTTACCAAAATATAAAACTTTACCAAAGATAAACCATTGCTCTTTGGAGCTCAGATTTCTGAAATTCACATTTTCAACCTTCTAAAATTATTTTTAGTGAACGTTCAAAAGCATAGACTCTTGTGTCAACATTAATGAATACATATTAATATATATGCAATAAAACCAAAGAGCTTTTAAAATGTTTAAAAGAGAAAATGTCTAATCTTAAGCCTGGTAGATAATTTTTAATTTGAATCATCACCTTCATCACAGGTTGCTCCACCGTATCCTGGAAGACATTCACAAATGCCAGGCTTAACACATTTTCCATGGTTTCTGCAAGCGGGGTGACATACAGCTGTGAAAAATAGAGCCCCTGGTTTAGAAATATCAAATATCAAGTGAAATTCACTATACAAGTGACGAATGTTGTACCTACCAGTTTGGCAGTTAGAACCAGCATAGCCAGGCTTACATTTGCATGTGTTTGGTGCAACACACTCCCTGCCTTTTCCACATGGGTGTCTACAAATGGCTGCAAAAATCAAGGCAAAATGACTGCATTATACCAAATACAGGTTTCTTAAATTGAGTTATAATAAAGTTAATTTTTTTGAAAGTTGAGTTTTTTTAATATTGTTTTCAACAACAACCACTGCATTTAACCATAATTTGTTCTGTAAATTTGCTTTATTTACTATTAAAATGGCTGAGGAAAATGGCCACTAGACTAGGAAGTACCATATGTGATAATTATTTCCGTAATAGTACGTAACATTGGAGACAGCAGCTAAATACACATGGGATTGCAAAGTCTTTTTTCATAAGGAAATGAAGTTTCAGATATAATCATCTAAATATTGATGAATGACAGGAACATTCAGAATTTCAAAGACTAAAAAGCCAGGAAGATGTCGTAAACTAGTAGGTTAATAGTTTTAGACACCCTGATGTAGTCCATTGTGCTTGTAACACTCTCTGAGGTAATTGAACTGCATGAAATTTTAAAATTTGTTGAAAATAAGGAATTTTGTATGATGAACACATAGGCATTGAAAATTATTATTGATATTCCTACCAATACAGTTTCTTTAGGTAATAGTAGGAATACCAGAATACTCCAACAGCTTTCTTGCTTAATTTTGTTCTCAAACAAAAACATAAAACAAAACACAGTAATAAAGCAATAACAATAACTAAACAAACAACAAAAAAATAGAGTTTATATGTTTTCAAAGCCAAAACTTTGATTTGCATCAGAAAAGCAATGCTGGTGATTGTGAAATTATAAGCAATATTAAAATGAATCAAAACTTGTTAATCTCAAGTTGGAGCAATGATAGAGACACTTAAATTTATGAAAATGAGCAAATATCCCAGAATTAGTAATTTAAAGTAGTATTGTGAACTAAGAGGAACCAGACCAAACATTAATCAGACCTAAATTCATATCCTTGTTTGATCACTTTAGCTGTTTAGCGATAGCCTCTCCTTGTAAAATGAGGAAAAAATTTTTAAAAAACCGCAGCCTATACTGTGTTTGTACAGAATATGCAACATATTAGGTACTTACTATATTTATAGTATATACTATATCGTTTTAATAGTATATAATATGAACATCTTAAAAAGTAACTCAGAAATCCCACTTTTGCTTTTTTTTCAAAAGATGATGACCTAAATAAAATCAATAGAAATTAGCAAGTAAAAAAGCATATTCTCTTAGTTATTTGAGCTAAAACTACAGTTTTCTTTGAGTCTTGTGACGGATGCTCATAGTACCTCTGCAAGTGATACCATCTCCATAATATCCCAAGGGGCAGCGTCCACATCTGAAGTGGTCATCTGTGGTCGACACACAGGAAACACCAAGAAAGCAAGGCTTATCAGCACAAGTTGACGTTTTGGTTAATCCAAACTTTTCCGGCAAAATAGTGACTGCTGTAGTATCTGATATTGCAAACTCATCCTTAGCTTGTGTGTAATTTTGGGAAGAATTATTAATTTGAGAATTGTAGCCTCTTGCCTCTGTTTGGATGGTACTGTGGATAACATCTTTTAGTTCATTAGAAACATGCGGATTAAAGTTTAATGAATTATTGCTGGTCATAGGAATTTCTGACTTTTCCAGACTGGAATTTGCACTGACAACATGATCTGCATATTCAAAATCTGTTATGTGATGGGAAACAACCATCTGCGAATTATCCGTTGGAGTTGTAACTGATTGTAGTGACAAATAGGAGATGTTCATTAGGTTCTTTAGGAACTTTTTGATAATAGCAGGACTGTAGGTAAAGTTTTCACCAATTAGTGAATGCTCTGTTGATGGTAACTGAGAATTGAGACCTATACAAGCAGAAAGAAATAGAAAGTTTAACCAATAATTTCATTCTGTTCTCACCAAATGTTTGGCACTAAGTAACTCATTCCTTCATTTAGTGTCTACAACTACACTACACTGTCCACAGCTACAACTATACTAAGAGCCAGGCTAGAAGCTATGAATAAGAAGTTATGAAATTGTTCCTGCCTTCAACGTTATTACAACCTACTCAAGTAAACAAGAGAACATAGAATGTTACCTAGTATAAAAGTTAAAGAACAATAATTAATGAGATTGTCTGACATTGCCTTACATGATGCTATTCTTTATTCATTTATGTTACAAAATACATTTTCTAGAATCTAAGATGAAGTATTCAATAAATCAACAAGAAAAAAATAAAATTTAAACTGGAACATATAATGTTCAGACAATTTTTCTGAAAGTGAAGATACCTGAGGAATGATTGTGTTGATTTTGCGGAAAATAAATTGAAAGTATTTTCACTAGATTTATGCTAAGACCTTTACTTACTAGAGGCATTTCTGTTCATTGGCTTAACATGGTTCTCTCCTTGTTTGGTACCCTCCTTCTTAATTACATTTCTGTCAGATCTTGGGATAATCAGAGTCCGTGTAGTAAATTCATTTAAAATTTGTGTTTCAACTGTGAGTGCATAAAAATTAGAGTTAAAATTCTTATAAAATCAAAGCATCATGAATAAGAACATATAGTAAACACATCATTTAGATTGAACTCTTTGCAATTTAGATTAGAGAACCACTTCAGATATCATCTCTTCAGAAGACGCTCTGGTATGCATGAAATTGTGTGCCTCAAAACTGATTCATTGAAGACCTAACCCTAAATGTGGCTGTATTTAGAGACTGGAGCTTTAAGAAGCTAATTAAGGTTACACAAAGTCAGAAGACTAGGCTCCTTATCCAGGAGAACTGTTGGCCTTCTAAGAAAAGGAAAAGAAACTAGAAAAACACATAGAAGACAGGTCCAATGTAGAGGCAGCCATCTGCAAGCCAGGAAGGTTTCACCCAAAGCCAACCAAATGAACACCTTGATCATGAACTTGCAGCCACCAGAACTGTGAGAAAATAAATTTCTGTTATTTGAGTCCCTCAGGCTGTGGCATTCCCTTACAGAAGCCCAAGTTGATGGACAGACTTTTCTTCAGGGTCACTCACACACTCCTACCGATTTTGTCCATCTGAATTTGTCCACAGCACTTTGTCCGTCATACTAGTGATCCTTATGGGTGATTCCCTTTCCCTACGCAGTTAACAGCAACCTCAATAATGAAAACTGTGCTTCATTTATGTTAATATTCTTCAACTTTGTTGCCTATCAAACCACTAGAAACCAAAATTTCCTTTTTTTTTTTTTTTTTGGTTATTCCTAAAATACACAAATTACCCTGACAATGTTAAGAATCCTCTTAGTCTCTTAGTCAGTCATGAGTATTGGGATTTGTTTCATTTGCTTTCTTTCTATAAATTCACTGGATAGAGGTTTTATTGAGAAATAGGACTGTTTGGAAAAGAGGGACGTTTGCCATAGAGTGGAAGGGGTAAATATGAGGAACTGGACACTGAGGGGAAAATGCAAACTACCAAATTTCCTTTTTTTTTTTTTTTTGGTTATTCCTAAAATACACAAATTACCCTGACAATGTTAAGAATCCTCTTAGTCTCTTAGTCAGTCATGAGTATTGGGATTTGTTTCATTTGCTTTCTTTCTATAAATTCACTGGATAGAGGTTTTATTGAGAAATAGGACTGTTTGGAAAAGAGGGACGTTTGCCATAGAGTGGAAGGGGTAAATATGAGGAACTGGACACTGAGGGGAAAATGCAAACAGCTGACAGAGTAGGAAATTCCCTTATATTTCTGCCCTGTGCTCCTACTTGTGATCTCAGTTCTAGACAGGTCCAGTGTCAAGCAGGAAAAGGTGGTATACAGTCTTCATCAAAACAGGATCACATTCAGTTATGTCAGATAAAGTTTTTTGATATCTGCTTTTTCCTTTTAAAAGTATTGATGCCTACAAAATTTTTGTCCCTTTCTGCATTTGTGTTCACCCTGTGCAGTTTTATTTGGTGGCTGATGATGGTAAGAACGGTGTCTTTCAGTCCTCTCTCGAGCTTCATGCGGATAGCACAGTCCTTCCACTCTTCTTGTGCTCAAACTGAGTTATCGTCATTCTCTTCTAAAAACATTCCTTCCACTGCATGTGTTAGCTCAGTAGCCTGGGTGAATGAACGTAAAGCTATTTTTTCATTGTTCTGGAGGCTTGAAATTCAAGATCAAGGCACTGGTATGTTTGAGTTTTGAACACCCCCTTTATTTATTGGAGTTGATCACTTTCTCAGTAAATCCTCACATGACAGGAGGTCTCTCCGGTGCCTTCTCTTAAAAGATAGTAATCCTATTGGATCAGGGCTCCACCCTTCACACTTTTAACCTTAATTACTTCCTTATGCCATGTATAGCTACATAGTTCAAAATCTGAACTTTGGGGGGCAGTCCCTAGCGATGTGAATGCCCATTCCACGCACCCAATCAAGTGTCTGAAATTTAACAATTTTCTTTCCCTTATGAGGCTAACTTACCCCAACCATTAATTATCATCTCTTTGCTTCTTTAGTATCTTTCATTTAACCTCTCACTTCAGGGCAAAATATCTTCATTTTTCCCATACTTTTGAGATACAGTTTTAAATTTTATTCTCACCTTCAGATTTGCACAGTTCCTTATCCATAAGTGTTCTATCTTTACATTATTTAAATAAACTTTCTCAGATGTAAACCTTACTACGTTTCTCTCCTGTTTCAAAATTATAAGGAGCTCTTCATGGTCTTCCTGTTGTCTTTCTCTCTAAATTTAATCTGGGAAAATGAATTGCTCAAAGTTCCCAAGGTGTCTTGTGATGTCTGCCATATAGGTCTCATCCTTTGCTATTCCTTCCACCTGAACTGCTTTTCTCTCCCTCAATCTGCTACATCAGATACATTTCTTGTATGTCTAATATAATGTAAACATTTTCTTTTAAAGGCTGTTATTATCCCTCCAGGTAGATGCCATGCTTTGTATAGTATTCATGCTACTTCCTCTAGATATTCCTTTACAAAGGTACAGAATACTCTATTGTATTATGAGATTACTAGTTATACTCCATGCTATTACATTCTCACCTAAGGAGTTGGAGGACATATCGATACATCTCTCCATTCTCTGCATCTGCTTTCCATAAACAACTCTAAATGCGGACACACTGAATGACACATGAATAAAAGAGAACTGAGTGACGGGAGTAGTTAAATGCAGCAGAATATAGGAACTTTTACCGTGACATATTTTCCCATCACCATGAAATCCTTTTGGACAGGGACCACAGTGATAGGATCCAAAGGTATTGAGGCAACCTGTTCCTGGAAAGCAAGGCTCAGACTCACAATCATCAACATCTTCCTGGCAGTTTATACCTATATGAAGTATAGATCAAGCATTCAAATTATTTAGTTTGAAATATGGTATATGTCTAATCAGCTTTTTATAATTCTTAACCCACATAGAACTGTTATAAATTATATTCAAAAGAATGTGCTGCTTTTAATATGTGCTATATAATCAAATATAGTCATTAATTAGATTCCAGTTAATATTTAACCCAACATTTAAAGTGTATAAGACTTTTCCTATACATAAGATGATTTAAAAGTCTATTAATATTTAAGACAAAATAATATCATATCACAGAAGAAAGGTGTTCTTTGATTAAAAGCTCAGGGATCTTTGGAAAAACAATGTTTATGATAGTTATCTGCTTAGTTTAAGGACTGTTTGTTCTGTTCAGTGATTGCATTACCTGTAAAAAATTGCGAAATTTTAAAAATGTGTTAGGAAAGCCAATCTTTTCTAAATAAAATATTTTGAGATGAAGTGGTGGTCTTTGAAATGCTTAACAACTTATTTGGATGATTAAATTCATACCATTTGTGGATAGCTGCTCTTATTATTTCAAAATCCATGAAGCAATCAATATTTAAATTCATTCAAATGCTGTCTACAATAGATTAGAAAAGAGTCATTTCCTACATTTGCAAGTCCAAATACTAAAATACTCATTTCAATCTAATTTTCAAGAAAAATATCAGCTCAACAGGTAGATATTTAGTATTTATACCTACATAACAAAATATTCATGAGAGTTTTAAGACTTAGGACATTAAAGGTTGTCAGAAGTGGAGTCATACATATATTGGAATTAGGTATTTTAGGTTAAATAATGAGTTAGTGCACATGGTAGCGTTTTATTTAAACTCTATTGTACATGTGTATATGTGTGTGTTGTTTGCATTATGTGTATGTGGGTGTGTTATATGTATTATATATGTATTTGTATGTGGTATGAGGACTGAATCCATGGTTTTAAAATTGCTAGGCAGGAGTTCTAACATGGGGCTACATCCCTAGCCCTTCAACTCTAATTTATACCATGATACTTTTTTACTTAGTGAATTATCAATAAAATTTCTCTCAAGTGATGTTTTATATTTCTGCTTATATAATTTCCTTATTTTTCTGTATTATATCACAACAAGAATACATTTCAATACATTTTACCTACTAGGTACAGGTGCACATGTTTGTAAAACTGCAATTTGTGGTTCCTGTTTGCTATTATTGTTACAAAAAATGGGCAAAATTGAAAAAGTATAAATAAGCAATTATAAAAAAATTGAAAACCTGAAGATATAAATAGCATATTTGCTTGGCTAACAGATTATTTAAAAATATGTATCACAATCTTTAGGACCACATAATTGCTTGAGTGATCTGTAGATAAATGTTCCAGGGAACTTCCCTCTCTAATCTATTCATATTTTACTCTAGTTTATGAGGAAACAGAACTTACCTTCGAGCTTCGGTGGACAGTCACAGAAATATTTCAAACCTCTAGTACATCTGCCAAGTCTGCAAGTGTTTGGTTGGCTCTCATTGACAACGACTTCCTCCCTCCTTCCCTCTTGCTTTCTTCTTCTGCACATCTCTGTTTTGATTGATCTCTCCTTTTCTCACTGTGATGGACTCTCATTTGACCCCCCCTGAACTTTCTTTAAAGGATCAGCCTCCCCATTGTAGAGCTGGCTGCCATCAGGAAATGCCAATCTCCTGCTCCTCCGAAGTCCATCTAGTGCCTGAGCTCACGTACTAGTAAAGTAGCTGTGTCAGGAACTAGAATTCCCTTTATGCTTTATGAAACAATTTAACACATCGTTTTATTTTGTATTATATTTTAGAAATATCTGCCTTTCTTGCCCACTGGCTAATGAAGAATTCCATTGTCATAGACACTGCCTGCATTCAGGAAGCACTGAGCCAAGAGACTATAGTCTAGGTTCCCATTCTGTCCCTGCATATCCTAACAAGCAGCTTAATTTATTCATATTAATTTCCTCATCTTCAGTATGAGGACTTAAGAACATGACATTTCAAGACCGCTTATACCTCTTAGTACTAAGAGAGAATCAGCCATATCACAAGACACTAAAGAACCAATTCAGAAGTTACGTTGTATTTTCTTGTATTTTCCTTTTCTCTTGCACTAAATTTTTCCTCAAATTGCCACTGTCCTCCAACAATATTCCACGTATCTTGTGCTTAAGCAGTGAATCATCTGACAAATAATCTAACACAATGATGAAATATGCACATATATTTTCATGTATAATAGTATCAGAAAGCACTGTATAAATGTAGGTTTCATTACTCTCTTAGACAAAATTACATGGGCCATGAATATGTCCTGTATTGTGTCTAAAAATAATTGATCACATTCTGTATTTAGGAAAGTTATATGGTATGTGACTGCATTTTAGAGCACTGTTTGTGTGGAACAAAGAGTCTTAAAATTATCTGTACCCAATACTATACTCATAGTATCACAGAATGGTAGTGTAAGGAAGGCAATTTATAGATTGAGTCCAGACACTTTAACAAATGACAAATCCATTTTCCTTGCAGCATAAATGATTAAATGTCCTGCCATAAAACTCACTAGAAGCAAGGCTAGGAATAGGAAATTGTGTGTAACTGAACTAAGCAACCTCATGTCTTCCATTAGTAATTCACATTTGCTTTCCTTAACAAATATTAAAATAACATTTCATAGTCTAGTGTAGTATGATCATAAAATCATATATAGTTATGGGTCACAATGATGAAGATAAGTTCTGAGAAATGTGTTGTTAGGCACATATGTCATCATAGCACATACTTAAATAAACTAAAACAGCTAAGACCTTACTAAGTGATACAGTCTTATGAATCCAACATTGTATACGCAGCCTGTTGTTGAGCAACATATTATACTAGGCATGAATATCTATAAAATAATATTTTCCATTTTCCATTTCTTTGCTGTAAAGTAAATTATGCAGTTAGCAGAGATGCTAAATTAATATAGGGTTCATCCATTTTAAACATATTTATATAGCTCTCAGTTTAAAAAATCATTTTTCAGAGGAAATATTTGGGTAAATAAAAAGAACTTACTTTCTAAATAGGACCAAGTAAATTTTGAGATTTTGGGTCTACAAATCAAACAAGGATTGGTAACATTTTTATCCCCTTCAGAATAGCAGACTCCATTGATCAGGCAACTATTTTCCTAACAGAGAAATTTTGAAAAAGAAAAAATCAATAAAGATAAGCTATTGTTAGAATATACAAAAAGTGTACATAAATGCAGCTTATATATTCATGATTATAATGAATGTATATAATTTTTAAAGGAATATTGTAAATGAAACATTAGAAATGTAAGTTAGACAAGAAATTATTTTCTGTATGTGTAAATAGCCATGGAATTGATCAATTCAGAGGAATAAAAATGTTCATGTAAGTTGTATCTCTGCAGCAAATTATAGCTTATGGCTCATAAATAAGAAGAGGAAAAGCTCTCATTTCCTTTTTGTCTTTTTTATTGCTAAACTTGTACAAGGAACACTTCATTAAAAGGTAATTGATATTGGATGTGGTGGCACATGCTTATTATTCCAAATTCTGGAACAGCTAAGGCAGGAGAATCTTGAGTTCAATGCTTTCCTGGGCAACACAACACAGTGAGACCCCAACTCAGAAAAAATGAAAACAAAAACTAAAAAATAAACAAAACATAAAAAATTAAAATTGACACTTTCTCCCTGCACATCTTCAAACTCATGTTAATTTGTAGTTAACTTCCTTTTCTCTCATAGCGCATTATTTTCTGTGAAGGCAGCAAGCTAGACAAGATTCATTGCATAGTTATCCACACTTGACAATAAATATCATTTCAAAAGTTGAAGAAGACGTTGACGCATACGGGATGAACATTAAATGTAGCAATCATTCTAACTTGGGAAGAAGACCAGAGGTTATTTGAGAACTATAACCTTTGCTCACTTTACAAAATCTCCTTTTATATCACCTATAATACTGTACACAAATGAAAACAGTCCCAAGAGAATAAGACAACCGTCAATAAAACATTTCTAAAACATTTAGGAGCATGTAGAAGTGAACTGTTTGTAGAAAAATAAAATCAATTTCTCAAGAACCAAATTTTTTTATTGACATAAGGCAACTAAAGTCAAGAAAAACAAGATTTAAAATTTAGAAAAATACAACACTTTTAAATCTCACTTCCATGTGTTTTATTTGTATACTCCTTAGTGTTTAAGCATTATATTAGATCTATAATATCTGTTAAATTAGTAATTCACATGTGAGAAAGCTCTGTGAATAAGCCCAGTAGACTTGGTATAGAGAAGAGGATGTGTCTAAAAGAATTATGCTTAAAATGTGCTATTGATCTGTAGACAGTAGTGGACATTTACAAGATCCAAAGAGTTCAGTTGTCAGAAAACTGTAAAAGTGCTAGCTTTACGCATTTTACAAACTGTACTCAGGTGCATGTCATTTGCTTTAAAAAGGACTAGATGTTATGGTTTAGATGAAAAATATTCCCCAAAAGTCTCAAATTCAGTGGAGTGGATTTTAGAGGTAATTAGATCATGGGGACAATATATTCATCAATGGATTAATCTATTGTTTATTTCATAGGTGACTGTGGAGTTTGGTGATGGGACCTACTCAGAAGAGGTGGGTTACTGGGCACATGACCTAGAAGGATGTATCTCTGTTCCCAGCTTCTCTCTTCTTTTTCAGCTTCCTGACCACCAGATGGTAAACAGCTATTCTCCTTGATATCATTTTGTCACATCATTTCTGCTTTAGAGCCAGGAGAACATGGACTGAATCCGCCAAAGCTGTGAGCCATAATAAATGTGTCCTTCAACATGCAGGTGTTGAGTACATTGTCTCAGTGACAGTAAAGTAACTAATACAGAAAATCGGTAACAGAACTGAGGTCACTGCTGTAACTGTACTTGACCTTGTAGTTCAGAACCCTTCTGAACTGGCTTACAGAGAGAGTTTTAAAAAACTTGGAGATACAGTTTAGAGAAGTTCTAGAGTGTTTTCAGTAATCCTTGGTGTGCACTATTGGATAGAACGTAGAATGATTGACAGGAATGGGGATGGTAAAAATCAAACTCAGGAAGCTTCAAATGGTCAGGTGTGTCAGGATCTGGCAGAAAATGTGTCTATATTTTGCCCATGTCCTGAGACTTTTCAGGAGACAGTGATTAAACAAGATGAACAAATTGATCTGGCAGAGAAACTTTCAAAGCGGCCTAATGTTCAGTCTGTGGCATGGGTACTGCTGGTTGCTTGTAGCCATATCTACACTGGAAATCAGAAGCAAGGAGCAGAGACAAATTATTTGAAAAAGTCTGCAGTTTTGCCATTAAAGACCTGCAAGTTTGTGGCAAAGCAGAGCATGGTTACTGAAAAATATTACTAAAAATAAGTGAAGTATTTTGTTCAGTGATAAGAAGGAAGATTCCTTGAGAGCAACTCGGAAATCAGAAAAACCTACCTATTGCAGGCTCAAAAGTACAAAGCGATAAATCTTTCATTGTAGAAGATAATTGAGATGCCTGCTCTTTCAGATACACTTAGGGATATGCATCATTCAGCCATTTAGACATTCAAAGGCTGCTGCAGCCATGGTCCAAGGTAGCCCAACTACTCCCTAAGCTGGTAGCTGACCTTGGAGTAATTCATGTGGTGCTGGTTATTTAGGCATGTAGAATACGAGAGTTATGGGGTCACAAGCTTCCACTCAGATTTCATAAGAAGGCCTAGGAGACCCGACAAAAATGTTTGAAAAGGTCACAGTCCTGAGCAGCAGCCCACTAGGGGGCAGCGTGTAAAGCTGTGAGAGTAAAGCCAAAGGCACAGTGGTAACAAAAGAAGCTGGAGATGCTAGGAACATGGAATGCCTGCTGAGGAAAGATGCCAGCAGTCAGTGGAACCAGCCCAACAGAGAAGCCATAAGGGCAGCGACTGGAAGAACAAGACAGAGGGGCTTCACAAGCCTTTTGGAACTCACACCTCATCACAACCAATGCCAGCGCTGGACATGAAGCTACAGGATTTCATGTTTTTCCAGGTGGATTTCAGTCTTGTTTTTCTCTAATTCCTTTCTATATCTTCATTTCTACATTTTGAATAGGAAATTTTACCCTGTGCCATTGTGTATAACAAGTATTTAACTTTCTTTTTTATTTTTACAAAGGTTCACAGCCAAGTTTCCTCTGATTCTCAAAGGAGACTTTGGACTTGGACTTTTCAGCAACAGTTGAAGTCTTAAAACTTTAATGGCCCTTAGAAATGCATTTTGTAAGAGAAAAGAAAGAATGTGAAAAAAGGAAAAAATGGAAGCAAAGTCTTTGTAAGTGGGGAAGGGGGTGAAGAGAGGGCAGGAGTATGGGGAAAAATAAAAACAAAGACATATGTAAAGGTACACCATGCCAGTGATAAATGTAACTGTATTGTTTGCTTTAAATGTACCAATAAACTTAATGGGGGAAAAAAAAGAAATGCATTTTGTATGATGAGATAGAACTGAGCCTTTTGGAGGCCAAAGTCATTTAATTTATATATAAAATATAATTTATATATAAAATGTGCACCAAAGGTCTTATATTCAGAGGTGGGGCTTTTGGAGCTGAGTGGGTCATGGAGCACTAAAGTCATCAATGGATTTGTCCACTAATGAACTTATAGCGGTCTGTGCTGTTTAGAGGTAGGGCCTGGCAAGATTCAGACCACTGGGGGCGTGACCTACAGGGATGTCTTCTTGGCCCTGGCTCCTGCCTTCTCTCTGCTTCCTGTCCAAAGTGTGGTGAACGTCTTTCCTCCACCATGGCATTCTGTCATGCCATTTGTGCCTTGTAGCCATCTAACCATGCACCAAATCCACTGAAATTGTGACCCAAAAATAAACCTCTTCTCCTTTATGTCACAGGTGTTGGGTATTTTTGTCCTATAAACGGAAAAGTGATGAATGCACTAAGTAACCACAAAGAGATATCTTATTGGAAAATACTTATTACTACTGAATGACGCAGTATATATAGGACTAAAGAAATAAAAACCTGTCTGAACTCTCTCTCTTAGTTTTTTTGGAATGAACCATCTGCCACTTCAAATGTTAAAGGCAGAGCTTTTTCTTTGCCATTTCAATAAGTTATAGGAAGAGTAAAAATTTCAGTTAATATTATATAAATCTAAGGAAAGCTTTCCTATTTTTATTTCTGATATGAAGCTGAAGAGCTACAGTTAATATGTCAACAGCATAGGAAATGAAAATATCTATGATGTAAGTATAAAAATAAATGGAAAGATACATACTTTTACAGTACATGAATCATTTTCATAGAGACCACAGTCTTGACAAGCACCATCGTATATAATCATTGTTTTGGGATTACTGAATTTATAACCATCATTAGATATCTGTAAGAATAATTCAGGTACAAAAAGTTAAATATCACATGGTTTCTCTAATGGATAGGGGGTAAAAAGGTTAAAAATGATCAAATATGTATTATAGCTGTACCTGTTTCCCAGAAAGAGCATCACTATTCTGTATTGCAAACATTCACTACAGTAGCACAGACAGTTCTAAATACAGCCTCATATATTCATTATGAAATTTGATATACAGATATTTACTTTTTTTCATAAATATATCTTTCATTACTTTACCTTTAATTGCCACTTTGCAACTGGCTTCGCACCTATCCGACCTGGGCTGTCAGACTGCTGGACACTAGAGGGCAGCTGACAAGCAACAGTTCTGTTATTTTGAAAAACTGCCCATGCATAGATGGGTTCTCCATGCACCCAGTGACTGCCATTATACTGTAAGCATAATGAGAACATAATTACTTTCTGCAAATTATGGAAATATTTTGCTAGTGAGTTACATAAATATATAAATCTAAATTTTTGTATACATACCTAATATAAATGAAATAGAGAAATAAAAGTCATATTGACAGTGAATTTGATTCACAATAATCGAAAGAGTATGTAACTTAATTTGATATCAACTGCTTCTAACAAATCATGCATTTCCTGAATATTCAAATCGAAGAAGTAACCCATTTTGGCCATATATAATGGATCATTGTGCAAGGGCTTTGGGAGCAAGAAGAAATACAAGAATAGCAATAAGAATAGCATAACCTCAATCTATTCAGAACAAAGAAGGATTCTATAAAATATCTGGCTAGTGCTCTTTAATATCGATAAGTTCATGAAAGACAAAGAAAGTCTGAGCACTGGCCCAATTTGAAGATTAAAAAAACAGGACAATACAATGCAATATAAAATTTTAGATTGGTCCCAGAGTCAGAAAAAGGAACATTATTTGGATGACTGGCAGAATTTGAACCAGGTCTGTGTATTATTTCATAGCATGGCATTGATGTGAACATTGTGTGGTCTTAGTTCTTGTTTTATGGATGTGTAAAGTGTCCATATTAGAAGAAGCTGGGTGAAAACTCAGTGGAAACTCTTTGTATTATTTTTGCAAATTTTCTGCAAGTCTCAAATTTCCTCAAAATAAATGTTTTACAGTATTACTTCATACAATGGAAAGTTATGAAGGGCTTCACACACTCTAGTTTTTTAGAAGCTAGATTTTAAAGAGAAACAATATTCAAAGGAAATTGACATTCCAACAAAAAGTGAGAAGTCAACTCATGTTAACTGAATACATAACAAGGAAGATAGAAGAAAACATGAGCTTAGGGGGAAAGAAAGTACATTCCATACACAAATGAAGTGCAAGGCTTTCTGCAGGTTCAAAGCTAGAAGAGTAGAGATCTTAGAATATTGCCAAATTATACAGGCTTGAGTCGAAGTGAGCTAACGGTAAAAAAGCCAAAACCAGGTTCTGGAGAACACTGGGGATAGCAGGGACTGTCTTAACTTCAGCACAATATAAAATAAATACAGTAATACCTTGGTTCATAACAAACAAACAATAATAAGCAAAAGCATTTGGTAAAAGTTTGCTTTTGTTCACAAACTCTGCATCTGGTGACAAACAAAACCATGGCCTTCTTCCCCACACAAACACAAATGCAGTCATGTTCCCCCAAATCATAAAATAAAGATCATAAACCAAGGTAACACTATCCTCAATATGCCTTCTAATCTTAGTTTTGGCAGTTTAACATATTTCTGTCTTCCCATAAAGTTCTCTATAGTGTGTTAGATAATTTCAGATTTTACTTTTTATCAGATGTTTGGAAGAGAAAAGTATAAGAGTAAATAAAGTGTCAATACAAAATGCACTTTCTTAGAAAATATAAACCTATAAAATGGTTCCTGGTAAATCATTTAATTGTAGTGTGATATCATATAATTTATTCTGTCAAGACTAAAAGAATACCTACTCTCTGGAATTATTCTGAAATTATACATCTTTCTATTATGTCACATTATTTCATTGTGATTAAATTATCCTATAGATTATTTAGAGAGGCTCTATCCAATCTATCTATCTATCTTAGAGGACATTTTTTAATTTCAGGAAAGAGTTACATAATTATTTTCAAGTTCTAAATTAAAAGTAATGTGAAATAGTATATATATATATATATATATATCCATACTCACTGTACCTAAGTGATTAAAACCATGCAAAATTATTTCCTACTGTAAATTCTCAATCTCAGAATTACATTTGTTTTCATCAATTTAACTATAAGAATGCTAAAATATGATTTTATATTTTCAGTTTAAGCTTACCCACATAAATTCTTTTTTTTTATTCAAAGGGGTTCCCTGGAAACAAAAATTCTACTTAAATAAAGAAAAGAAAGATGATTATACAAAAAATGACCCCCAAAACAGATATGATTTGATATACTATTGTTTAAACTAAATGATCATTTGTGCTTCTGTGGTCCCAAGAAAGTAAAAGGCAAATGGGGGAGGGGTATTTTCCCTTCTGAAGACCACAGTAAAGTAAATACAAAGGATGAACACTCTTCCTCATTTTTTGTTTTGTAAAAGGAAAAATATTCATGTTCCTGTATCCTATAGTTCATGCCGTATGTCTCAGCCGAAAACCATCTTTATTCTTCGTGTTTTTGCATTTCAAGAAATATGGATGTCTCCTTATATCAAGTTCACTTAGGTAAAATAATAAGGTTTATAAACAGGGAAGCTTTTAAGTTTAAGAAACTGATCCATTTTTTTCCTGTTTACTCTCTGTGGATATAGCATTCTTTGTAATCATGTTGCTAATTGATAGACCAAACTAATCCAAGATAAAATTAATCTGAATAACATTAATTCAACTGTTTTAAGCAATCTGTCATAAAGTCTGTAATTAACATACCTTCAGTTTAGTAACTTCACATGTAATGGAAGGTGATTCTTTGAAACCTTGACCAAAAACTTTCACCATCACACAATTATATTTTTGAACATCACAGAAGCCAGCATTCTCAAGCTCTGTGATTGCAGGAGGGTTGTCTTTGGGAAAAAAATTGTGACAAAGAGGACATTTTTTAATTTCAGGAAAGAGTTACATAATTATTTTCAAGTTCTAAATTAAAAGTAATGTGAAGTAATATTTCAAAGTATCGTATATCCTAGGAATTATGACATTAAATGTTAAGAGTAATCTGGTATAAAAGAAGTGTGATCATAACGCTGTATTAATAACAATGTCATTATAGCTATTACCCATGCTTACATATACAAATTTCATTAATGTTTTAATAATTTTTTTGTCTACTAAGGACAAGTATTAAGAAATAACTATTATAATGCATTAGGTTTTGACTGTGCCATTTTAGTTTAGAGCATATAAATGGGTGATGATAAACATACTTTTATAATAAAATAGTGCAATATATTAATATTTTTAAATACTTAAGTTTTAGAAAAATGTGCAAAATTCAAAAATGCTGTTCTAGTGTTATAGACATTTTTGTGTGTTATTACTATACTACATGCTACCATATTTTTATGTGTACTATTCAATTAGAGGAGAAAAATTTCGTATAACAATCAGAGTTAACTGACCGTCATGTGATTTTTATTTTGTACCTGGACGTGGTAAGAGCATACATTATCTCTATCTGTGAGTCTTGGTTGTCAACATAAATATATGCAGTTTATAAAATAATGATATCTTTGCCTGACTTCTGGTGAAACTGAACTGAATAGAACTATACTAGCAATGGAGTTCAAACAAAATCATAAGTCATGCATTGACAGCCCTAAACTTATGAAAATCCTCATGTATAAGTTTATTCCTTCATATATTTAACAATTATTTAGCAGCTTATTTGAATATAATGTTATTAAAGGGAATATAGTAAAGAACAAACCACTCCCTCCCTTCATGTAACTTACAGCCTAGCATACAAAAATAAACAAATGAAAAATAAGAAATGTATCAGCGTTTCCAGGAATATGGAAAAAGATCACATTAGCTATAGGAAGGGAGATAAAAACTCTGGGGCTGTTATTTTGAATGGCTGTGGAAGGGCATTCGTGCAATATCACATGTGAGTACAGAGGTGAAGAGACCTGTGGTAGAAGAAAGGGCTCCGGAGAGGCTGAGCTAAGAGCAAAGGTCCTAGGGAAGGAATAGGCCTAGAACGGCAGCAAGCATTCAGCGTGGCTGGAAGCAGCGAACTAGAGGGAGAATGATAGATGGATTCACAGTGAAGGGAGCCTCGGATTAGCTAGGATCTTCTAAGCCATGTAAGGATTAAGGCTTTTACTCATCAAAGGCAGAAAGCCATTCCAGAGGATTTAAGAAGAGGAGCAAGCAACATGATCTGACTCACATTGCAAAGAGCTCATTTTGACTGCGTCTGCATGGAAAATAAGCTTTGGGAAAATCTGTGATGATCCAAATTAGAGATAATGGTGGCTTAGAGCAAGGGAATAGATGAAATGCTTTGAAGCTAGAGCTGAACTTGGCACTAATGAGTTAATATTGAGGTGCCAAATAAATTATGAAAAGTTAAAACTGACTTCAAATATCAAACTTGAACAATTGGAGAAATGAAGTTTGCTTTTGCTAAGATAGAAGAAGTCATAGACGGAAAAGGTTGTGGAGGGAAATCAATAATTAATTGTTTACTGGATAAAAGAACCAAACCAATGTTTTAAAAAAATGGTGTACCTTTCTGCCCATTACTAAGACTTCAGCTTTGGCTGATGGAATACCTTTTGGAAATTATTAATGCATTAATCAAAATAATTTGGGTTTCCCTAGATAATCTTAGTAAATTTTAAGGTACTAAAGGCAAAAAGGAAAGACATTTTCAATTAGCAATTATCACACTGTAGATAAACCTCATTGGCTATGATACTGTTACTGCACAAAGCTAAGACGTTTTTCAAACTGTCTTATATGACATAATCCCATGTCACACACAATATCAAAGCGAAACAGATTTTACTTACCGTACACATCACTGCAGTCATAGGAGCTAAAGCCCGGGAAGCATGCACAGCCCCACTCCATACACTCTCCATGGCCACTGCATAAATTGGGGCATTTTAATACCAGGAGAATGTCTTCAATTGACTTGCCATATTTTCCTCTGTCATATGCTCCCTCTTCCAAAACCCTCCTTTCACATTCGTTTTCCAAAAGGGCCAAACTTGCTTTGGCCCAGCTAATATCATCTTTCAACAGAACATCCTTAACACACATATCGATAACACTGTTTAGTCTCTTGCCAAGAAAGGCAAGGCAGAGCTCTCCAATGCTAGAGTTGGCTAGAGTCTGCTCACAGAGAGCCAAGGTGCTGTGCTCAGTAAGACCAGAGGGTGTGGGCCATGAAGGGACTAATTCTTGGTGGACATCTTCAGCATGGTCTTCAGGGAAAAAGTAAGTAAACTCTTCAAGGTTGGTTTGGCTGAGACTTTGGAAAGCAGACAAAGGAGGATAGTCCTTAACGTTTTGGCGTTTCCACCTCTTCCGTTGATGCCACCTTGTTTCGTGGCTGTGGCCAGCCTCGTCCTGTGTTTGCTTCTCACTGTCCAAATAGTTTGATGCATTTTGCTTTTCATTCTTGGGATGCTGTAAATTTAAGTCCAGTTTGGTTAGGTTTATATGTTTTTTTTCTTGCAGTAAGAAAATCAAATTATTTTCTTCTTCAGATGTATGCTTTCTTATTCCTTTGACAAGAATTTCAGAATTAATATACTCTGAGGTGACATCTAGTTCTGGTATCAAAGAAGAGAATCTCATGTGTTTGAAGTCTTTGCAACCTGAAACAGTTTCTGATTGAGAAACACTGTCCAGATGATTAGAAAATCGATACTTTGAGGCAGTCTCCAGTGAGCAGCTACAGTAGGATGGTTTTGTAGGCAATGTCAGAGAAATCGGCATTGTGTCAAACATGCTTTTCCCTGGCAAAATTCTTCTCGGTGGAAAACAGGAAAGAATTATTTGAAAAAGAATATTTATTCCCCAATCATGTATTTTTAAAAAGCATGGAATTACCACTCATTTAAGTTTTATTAATGCAATCACAAATAAAAGTGTTTATTTCTTACCTCCATTCATTAATAAAAGCAAAAAAATTATTAAAATTTTGATCAATTTTGATCCCATTTCTGTCATGGAAATCATTTTCTGGGTTTTCATCAAAGGTACCACAAAGGCCCAAAGTGTTTTGGTAATCTAAACTAGGGGCTCTGACTGTTAGACTCATGCCCCATTCACTGAGGTCAGCACGGATAAATGCTCCAGAAGAAAACCATATCTGAAACAGAAGTAATCAAGAGAGAAAAAATAGATGTTGAATCAATATTCAGTATGGGTCAAGAAAAGAAATTTTATTTAAGAAGTAAGAAATCACACTGAGTTATTCCATCCATCCAGCAAGGAAAATACTGATTTTTTTAGATGACAACTTTTGTTAATGCTGCATTTCAAAGTAATAGATTTTTGTGTTTGCCAATTTGAAATTTGAGCCCTATATTAATTTTTATTGAGAGATATTATTTGCAACTCTTTCAAGTAATTTAAACTAAAATGTGATTTATATAATAAAAGTTACAAATTTTAAAATAAAGCTTACCAAATCATGTTTCTTATGGTAATCACTTAACATGGCACTTAACTACCAAGTAATTTATTTACACAGATTAAATATAATTCCAGAGGTGTATATATGAGTATCCTTTACTGTAGGTAGGCACATCAAATCAGAAGCCAAGTTATAACCAGAGGTTGCCTAGGAATTGGACCGAAAAGAGTTTATTGCATGACTCTAATAGCTTGTACCATCCAACCATGAGCTACCTCTCTGTACTGTGAGAGTGTCATCTGTCCCAGATCAGCTCCCTGGATGTGTATGTGTAAGAACTATCCCCTTTAAAAGTCAATGAAGTTATACCTCCTGTGCTTTCTTCTATAATTCATATTTCTCTTTAATATTTTTTCTTTTTATAAGAATGGTTTTGTGTTCATTGCAGAAAATGAAGCATTACAAAAAATGGAAACAAAACTTACAATCCCCCTTAAGACAGCTAATTTTATTGCAAATTCTTCAAACCCTTCTTGTATATTACACAAATATCTCTGCTTGTCTACAAGTACAGTGCTACTCCATCATTTTCATGACTGCAATGTTTTCTACACCAAGTATGTTTAGAGTTTTAGTTAAATCTAATTGATCACAGATTAATTGCACCATTCCCCTCTCACGAGTAGATATACAATAAATTATCATGGGAGTTTTGTACATCCTAAATTATTTTATTAAAATAAACTTGCAGAACTAAACTTTTTTGTTAAAATGACATACATAAATGAATTAAGATTATATATAATTCATATGGCCTCCAGAAAGACTTTCTTTCTCTCCTCTTTCCAAAATTATGTGAAAGATGTTTGATCTGTATTTATTTAGTTGATTATTAATGAGGTCAATATATTCATATTTTGTTGATTATGTATTTTGACATATTTATCAGTATTCTTTGTGAACTGTTTTATTTTATTTGCTCTTTATAATTGGAGTGCTGATTATACATTAGTATGAGAGTATGAGAATTTTATATATTGATTATATAATTTATATGTAGCAAATATTTTCCCAGTTATTGATTTGCATTTTGTTTTTGATGGTCGAATTCAAATCTACAATGCTACATTCAAAAATTATAAATGTTATAAAAACATAACAGCTGCTTTTCAATACTTTTGAAATTAAATTATATTTACTTGAAATTTAGCCTTTTGAAAGATGAGAGGAAGACGAACCTCACCTTAAACTACAAATAGCTTGCATATATGAAATGTTACTATTTAAAAAATTAATGAATCAATATAGAATCGTGGGTAGCTTTCTTGACTTTTTATTCTCTTCGTAGTTATCTGTTTAGCTCCCAACCAATTCTGAAGTAGCAACAAACTATTCATTTAGAAAGTTGGTTAAGTGTTCCCGAATGTGTAACTTTCTGTCATATTTGTCTAATGTACTTTTTATTAGACATTGGCAAAAATAGTTATGTGAATAATCCACAGAGTTCCTTCATATTGAAATGTTAAGTGCTGCAATTTAGATTTGACAGTTTAACTATATTGTGTCTACTTGTGTTTGGTAAGTGAAAAACACTTTAAAATCATAGATCATCTAAACGTTATTTTCTTGCAAACACTAATATTGAAAAATGGTAGCTCCTAATTTAATGGAGATGAATAAAAGTTCACTCAAAAGGAAAACTATTTTTAAAATTAAAGAAGCATACATACTGTGACTTTTCTTCCTAAGTAGGATTCACTTATCTTGATATTGCTGGATACATCTTGACTTTTCACAAATAAATACGGTTGAGATGCGTGTAAGTGACCACTGCACATATCAAAAGTAACTAAAACACCTTCTTCTTTGGCAACAAACCCACAGTTACAGGACACAGGATAGTAAAGTCTTCCACAGTCCCACTGACGTACATGGATTTCAAAATCACGTGATGTACTCTTATAAAGCACAAATGTTCCAGTCTTGAAATTATCATATATCCTATCATTAACAAAAGTCAATTACACAAAGAGTTGGTACAAAATATTATGAGTATGTCACAAGCTAAAAATGTGTATTAAATATATAGACATAGGCATTGAGTATATTCTGATGTTAGAGAAATCTAGATTACCAAGTGGTTGGAGTCATGAGCATTTATTGGTAGGCACTAGACAAAATAAATGTTGATAAGCATCTCTCAGTCTCTCCCACTACTCTTCCCTTCCACCACTCCTGTTCGTCCACATACCCTGGGAGGCAGGTGTGCTGAATGTGCATGGACATGTCCCCTTCACCTTCCTCAAGTACTTGGCCAGATGTCACCCTCACTCGGTCACTTTCTATATCCATTTTATTTGTTTGTTTGTTATTATTTTACTTTTGGGGTGGTACTGGGGAGTAAGCCTGGGACCTTTGCACTGAGCTATGTCACTCGGTCTTATTTTTATTTGTTTTTTTTTTCTTTAGACATAGTCTTGCCACGTTGTTGAATTACCGCGACTGAGCTAGAATTTCTGCTTCAACCAGCCAGAGCAGTAGGATTATAGTCATGTGCCACCATGCCTGGATCCATTCTTTTTGTTTGTTTGTTGTTTGTTTTGAGACAGGGTTTCACTTTGTAGTGCAGTCTAGCCTTGAGCTTGCTATGTAGCCCAGGTTGGCTTCAAACTCAAACTCAAGGCAATACTCCTGCTTCTGCCTCGCAAGTGCTGGGATTACAGGTGTGTGCCACCATGCCTGGTTCCATTCTTTTTTTTTTTTTTTTTTTTTTTTTTGGTAGTAGGGATTGAACTCCAATCCTTGTGTTTGCAAGTCAGACCACCGAACCGCTGAGCTAAATCCCCAGCCCCCATTCTATTTTAATATAAATTGCAAACCCTACTTCCAGCCTTTCCCCACTCCTGATTAACCTTTGTTCATGGCATGCTTCAGACACTACATATTTTGCTTATTTATATCTCTCTTCACTTTTTCAAAGGTCAGTTCCATAGGAGCAGGTAGAATTTATCTATTTTGTTCACTGCCATATACCCAGCATCTAAAAGGTGGCACAATACATTGTGTTGGATTAAGTTGGATTAAATGCATCATCATTGTGCTTTCCTGAAGTTTTTCCACGGAAACTTTTTTTTATTTTGTTTTTCTGTTTGTTTGTTTGTTTGTTTGAGGCAGGTCTGATTGTGTAGTTCAGGTTGGCCTTGAACTCCTGATAATATTCCTGCCTCTGCATCTCAAGTGCTGTGATTTCAAGCATGTGCCAGTAGGCCCAGCCCCCACCAAAATGTCTAAGTCTTCAATTACAACTTTTCAATACTTGCTCACATCTGTAGAGGGTCATTTTTATTAGAGGGTTTCTATATGTATTCACCATATTGAATAATTTTATCAACAATGATGACATTACAATAAATTATATATTGCATTATGAATTAAATTTTCACTCAAAATGAGGTATCATTTTCCTATAGGACAACTAAGTATTATGTATTCCTCTAGGACACCATCATTGAGCTTAACTCTTACAATGCAGATATTAATAAGAGGATAGTTTAGATACTTTTTGGACATTTTTGCCAACTATTCTTTAATTCCAGAGGCAAATATCTAGACACTCGTGATGGTTATAATAGTTTTCTCCCTGAGAACTCATCATGAATTAGCAATGATTAGTTTTTAAAATAACCTAATGTGTTAGTTTAATCATCTTGCCTAAACTTTAAAGATTATTTTATTATTATGTAGAAATGCAGCACAGTAAATATTTTTACTGCAAATAACTTAAGCATTTTTGAAAAATAAACAATTGCCAAGCAAAAACAATTGTCTGCATTTTTCATAATCTTTACTTCTACAAATTCAGGCTCATAAGCATTACATAGTTTTACTAAGAACTAGATCTAAGGCAAAAAATATGTACATAAGTAGACTAGTGCCTTGAAACAAACCAGTGACAGAGATACATGCTGTTCTTTCTAATCTGTCAGTGACTAGAACTAAGAAATGATAAAACCCTATGCTGTTTAAAGCAAAACAACATTGGAAAGAAACAAACAAAAACTACTAAAAGATAAACTTACCTGCCATCAAAGGTTATTATATGTGGGTCAGTAAATGAGTAACAGTAAGCAGTTGGGATATCCTTAACTCTGACCTTAAAAATACAAATACACTGGTAAATACAACCATCAGTTATCATTTAGGGATACTAAATAGCTTGACAATTATAATGAATTCTGGTTTTATCATTGTTTTGAAAAATGAATCATTTAAACAGTAAAATAATATCAAATAATCTTAGATAAAAACTGATGATCTAATGATACAAAATAAGTATCTGTTAAAGCTTAAATTATAAAAATCATTTTCTAATTTTTCAACCTGGACGCTGTCTGGAATGTAGCCGTTCCACAGGAAATCCTCATTAACTATCGGTTGCACTATGATGTCTGTGACTCTGTCCCCATCTGAGGAAAAGTCTGATACAGCAGTGTAGTTCACAAAAGCATAACTACAGGTTCCATTGGCACAGGGTGAGGTCTGGCGAAGGTCCACATGACAGGAAGACAGGGCCAAATTTAAGCCAAAATGTTCATTACCTGTTTACATGAAAAAATATGATGAAAATTGTCCTATGGGTATATATCCTAAGCAAAACATGTAATAGCTTTAGTAACATCAAACATTGAACTAAGAAATTATCCTAAATTCTTTCTTCAAAAACATTGTTTCAATTTTTGTCCAAATTAAAACAAAGAATCTACCCCTGATCTTAACATAAATGTATTCGCATATACATATATATATACATATTACTATTTTTAATAAAGTTAAAATCCAAATATAGCTAAATAAAATTCAAAAGCAATAAATAACACAAAATAATGATAGAGATAAAAATGTTAAGTACTTGATTTGATCAATACATATTGCATACATGTATTGAAGATCACAATGTACTCTATAAATATATACAAATATTACGTGTTAAAATATTTTATATTTAACAAGATAAAAAATCAGTAACTAAAAGTTGGCCTTGTTTCTATAAAAAACCTAATTCAAAATATTAAGAAACATAATTTGACTTTTTTCTGGTAATAATTGGGATTAGGCTCAAATACTTCTTTAATGTCTTTTAGGACATGTATTTCTGTTCCATCCATTGCTTGACAGCAGCAATGCATTTAATTATATATATAGATTTCATCATCTTAAAAATTGAAAATACAAAATAAATAAGGTGACCCTCAGTCTAGCAGTAAACTATCAACTATCTCCTTTCACTTTCCAAATGTTTGAACATATTCAAAACCTCAAGATGCTACCTCAGTTATGGAGCAAAGATTAAGAAAATGAATTTGGAAAGGAAAAGGTGATACAAAATGAAGAAATTTTGAAATGTGTGTAACTAAACAAAAAGAACAGATTCTCCAAAAACTGGACGTAAAGGATGTCTGTTTTCCTCAACTATTGGTGACTGCAAAGGCCTTCTGAGAAACAAACAGGGAGAAAGAAATTTAAAACTTTCTATCTTCTTTTGTTCCATGAAGATTTTAAGGTACAAAATTATAATGGTCAGATGTGGGCACATTGAACTAGATTCAAAATTCCTTAAAAACTGTTTCCAGCTACACACTTTTCCTAGAAATATACTCTTCTCTCATACACATATAAATTAATGAAAACATTCAACGTCTTAAATTCTCCCTAAGGTGAATGTGGAATATTTCTGACTTAGAAATAGTCCATGAAAGGTTTTGGGATTTAGCTCAGGGGTTCCAGCACCTGTTTCTCCCTAAGGTGAATGTGGAATATTTCTGACTTAGAAATAGTCCCTGAAAGGTTTTGGGATTTAGCTCAGGGGTTCCAGCACCTGCTTTGCAAGTGCAAAGACCGGAGTAAAAAAAAAAAAAAAAAAAAAAAAAAAAAAAAAAAAAAAAGAGTGTAAAGAACTCAGGCAACCAACCACTGCTATATGTGACTTGTCCCCTTATATTCTATCTTGCCCATTGCAAAGATTTTCGTGTTTTCTATATGGCTGCAACAACGGTTTACATTTGGCCATGCATCACAACTCTATAAAGGTAGTAGTGTAAATAGAAAAATTGTACGACAAAAGGTTCCCAACATGAGCTTACATTAGGAAACAAAGTGTGAAGAAAGCATTATAAGATCCATTTCATAAATGAGCTTTTAACATAATTTCTCATACTTTCATTGAGGATGATTTGGAAAAATCTTAAAGAGCAGTGTGTCCCTCTAAAAACAAGACAAAGAGAAAAATAAGTCAGAAGATAAAGGGAAGGGAGATGATAAACAGGTATAAGAGGAAAAAAAGGAGGAGAGCAGAAATAAGACCACGAAAAGGAGGTTGTTCAGGTTTTTAAAAACATGCTTTGAGCTCAGGAAAAATAAATATAAATTGCTTTTTGATAGGCATCAATTTGAGTTAGTACTATTAATATGATTGAGCTATAATGATATAAACACACAGCATAGTTTAATATATGAGTACCCTTCATAATCTATTTTATTAAGAAAAAGTATGTTTCCATTCAAAAATCTAATAATAAAATTAAATGAATTTAGTGTATTACCTTGATCAACAGTTTTCAGTTTTAATGAGATTTTGCATTCCTCATCAAATTTACTAAACTCAGAACAAACAATAGGAACTGTGCTCTCTATCCTCAGCTGGTGTTCTTTCCCATCTTCTGATATAGAGCTCAATTCGGGTTGTAACTGATGTAAGAAAATATAGAAGAGCACTTATGTTAAAATAGAATTGATTGCTACAATGTAATTTTGAAATCACATTTTCTCAGCAGCTCATCTTGTGCTAAATGAACTGGTAATAACTTAAGCAAAATGTTCAACTAAACAAAGCAAATTAAAACTAAACCAAATAAATATATAAGCAGCATGTAAATTTGCTTTGAGCCACTACACTGCTCTGGATTTAGACACAGTTTTGTTCCCCAAACATTTTGGGCAAGGTCCAGCCTGCCTTAGGGATTCTAGTTATGTGGTGGTTATGGGGAAATACAGATTCCTGCATTCTTCTACTTGTTAGTGGGAAGCAATAGAAGAGTCTGGCTATTTTGAGAACTTATACTCATCATCTTAATTAGAAATGTGATTGTTTTAGAACATAAATCCAAGTACTGTTGTCACTTGTAAAATTTATTTCTGAGACTCTGCTTTGCACAGTTAGACCCACTAAGTATTGCTTTGGACTGTCCCCCTTCCAGTTCACCAGCCAATTTGTTCTGGGAGCAGGGATTTTTTTTTTTTTTTAATGTACTATGCTACCAAGTTTTGGCTAGCTCTTGAAACAGATGTTTCTTAGGAGTGGCTATTCTCTCTGTTAGCTTAATTAGAAACAGTTTCTGGGGGCTGATGACTGGCCCTTGATATTGTCTGCTGAGTGCTTAGCAATGAAGATGAAAAGGTTCCTACGTTCCCAGGGCCTGAGCTCTGCTTCGCCTTAACTTTTGGATTGCTATTCCAGCAGTGTAGTCCAGTCTTCGTTTCCTGATCCCCCTGCATACGCACAGACTTTATCTAGAAATAGGTTTTACCTTGGTCCTGAGTCTCGTCCCCATATGAAATATGAATGAGTCCAAGTTGAGCTCCAGTTCTGTGAATAAGACCTCCCAGGTGCACTGCACTGCCACACACCTCCATCACTTCTGATTCCCTATCACCTCTGCTCACTTGTTACAACTGCTCATTAACTGTTGGACCCTAAGTGCTACAATGCAATTCATACAGCCCAGATCTCTGAGGCGCGTTAAATTCAGTCAGATCTCTATTTCCTGGCTTGGTATTTCTCATTAAAAATACAAAATAAGTAAATATAGATAAGCTAACTTTTAATTACATGACGGAATGAATTAGGGGACAAGAGCTTTTGCATTTTTTTGTTATTTAAAAAAAACAAAATAAAACACAAGTTCTTTTTTTAATGATGGTATGAATTCTGAATTTTCTATTTTATTGATGATGCAAAAGCAATACTCAGTATTCGTTAGAAACTATACTTTGACTTCTGAAGTTTGAGCTTCTCCTAGGTCAGAGATATTATACTCCATACCATACTCTCCCCTGATGTTGGCCAGGGCAGGGAACCACTGCTCCCAGTGAGCCATCATTGATCACAAGAATAAGCGAACTACACTCTATAGTGTCCTACATTTCAAAGCTATAATAGTATTAGGTAAATTAGGTGCATTAAGTGCATTTGTGGCTGACACTATTTGTAACTTTTGATGAGTTTACTAGAAAGTAACCTTATTGTAAAACAAGGAGCGTCTCTATACCCCAATTTGAGTTCTTTAACAGGGGTTCTCAAACTTTGCTGTGCATTAGAATTATTAGGATTGTTCTTCAAAAATACAGATTCCTGAGTTGCAATTTTCTGATTCAGTTTTTGAAAAATCCAGGCCCATCATGGACAGAGTACAGTTTGGGAAACAGTTTCAGGAGAGTAATATTTCTGATCCCTCCCCACTGCTACTTACCTTAATGCCTGCAAAAAATTCTCTGCTTTCACTGGTTAAACTTTGTATATGTGGTTTCTCCAAGAGAAAGACAGAAGCACTACAGAATATCTATGAATACAGTTAACAAATGTTTAGCAATAAAATTATGGAAAAAATCATAAATGATTATCTTTAAATACTTAATTTAAATAGTAGACACTACCAAGGGATAAAAGAACTAAATAATTGAAATATTTGCCTGAAAATTTTCAAAAATGTCATTATAAAACATTACTTATTTTAACTTTAATATAAATTAAGGGGAGATAGATTTTTATTTAATACGTATTTGAAAGTAGATAAAAGCTATATTATCAATGAAAAAAGTAAAATATTGTTTCCAAAGTATAAGGATTTCATTTTAAAACCTGAAAAAGACATTTTGTTATAAAAATTAATCAATAACAGTCAGCAAATTTCTCAAAGGAGATGTTCATATAGTCAGAGTATATTATTGACCCATGTAATTATCACTAGAATTAGCACAATTTATTTGGAGGAAAACATTAGTGCTTTATATTCTGTTTGCTAAACACTACATTTATAAAAATAACTTATAATCCAATTTTTTAACATACCCTGTCTCCAAGTCTGAGATTTATGCCATCAAGTTCTAAAAGAGAGAATGCCTGAACTGTGGTCTCTTGTTTTAGCTCTTCTTTGATTTCTTGAGAAGAAAGCCTAGACCAAGATACAAGAAATCCCACCGAGTTGTTGGTTGGGGAAACATCAAATGCACATCTACAGAAAAGCCTGGACTCAATCAATTCCACCACAACCTCTGGCCTTCCAGGAGGTGGTGGCGGCAGTCGGGCCAAAGGCTGACCTAGTAAGAGAAAATACATAATTTATAAATCGAAGATCTTGAAGAATGATGACTGGTTTATGAAAAAAGTATGCAAAGATTATAACTGGTATTTCTCTTAAGGAAAAAATGAAATGAGTGCAGAAAAAATGATTATTTTCTAGCAGTCAACAAAATAACACATTCCTGTTTGATCTACATATATGTATTGTTTGGTAGCCGAGCAGTCTAGTTCATCAAGCCTCTATTGATGCCAGTTGTCTGCCTCTGAAGAAATCTGTTTCATGAAAATCATAGTAATTTACTGTTTTTTAGGCAATTATCTTTTTTAAAAGATTGAAGAGACGAAATTCAAGTTCTGTACAATATTTCTAGTTATGAAGATAAAAGCCACTGTAATACAAAAGCACATGACTCTCTTTTACTTTTATAATTTATTCTTAGAACTGAACTTCAGCCAAGAAAAGATATTCATTCTGGGGATTATTATACTGACAGTGAAACAAACTGTCAAGTTTTAAACAATAACATTCTGCTCAATTTTCGGAGGCTAAAACAAAACAAAAATCTTTGGAGACATTTCAGAGCCTCAGATTTTATTTTGCAAATGCTCAGAGTTAAAAAGAAATGTAAATATAGCATGTGAGTTTCTAAAAGCTCACTTAACCTCCACATTAACCTAAAAGAGATTAATATCAATTTCTGCCTATTTTGAAAAATACAATTGAAAAGAGAAAAATTTTAAATACAAACAACATCTTTGGTGTTTATTTTTGTTTATTTTATTTTGTACAAAAGCCATCTTCCCAGAAAACAGAATAGAATTGTACTGCATAATCTAATTTCTTACACGACAATAATGAACCCACGTCTACTGACGTTACCAAAGGTACTCCTACATTTTAATGCTTTTTGCTAAATTCTGAGTTATTATTTACTTATCAGAATCATTAATAGGAAAGTGGATATACTCCTAAGTGAAATAAATAAGTCACACATGTGTAAATACCTAATAGTTTCTCTGGTGTGAATAAACTGTAATAGTACACAAGATCCTAATGAGATAATTAACAATGTGAAATAGGAAGAAAAGGGCTAAAGCTGTAGAGAAAGTGGGAAGGGTAGGGGAAAGGGAATAAGGGAAAAGAAAAAATATGAGAAAATGAAAATAAAGTGTTTGTAAATGGGGAGGGGAGGATGGGGTAAAGGGTTCAAGATCCTAGTAATGAATGTAACTGTACTGTATACCTAGAATGTACCAGTAAACTCAATAAAAAGAAAAAAAAGAAAAAAGAAATACTTAATCAGTCAACAGTTATTATATATTTAGAGTTCTTTTTCACATTATTGAGAAATGTTTTTATAAATAACTGTGCTTGCATATTTTCTTGAACAGTTCTCTAAAATACAATTTTGGAAGTACAAATATAGGTACAGATAAATGTAGATTGTTAAGAATGTTGAGATAAATTACCAAATTTTGTCATGAAAAATCCTAACAATATTCATACTTTTCCTTAGTTTTCTGTATTTTGGCTAACTCCAGGAACATTTCTTAAGGCATGATAACATTATTTTTTATTTTTATATCTGTCAGGTGGTAGCATTGTCTATTATTAGTATAATCCAACATTTAAAGCCACAGAACATAAATAACTAGCTGAAC